GATGCAGGGGATCGAGGAGGTGATGATGATAATGACGTTTTCGATATATCCCCAGCGGATTAGTTCGATGCCGCCGCTGGCTCCGGTATTCGTGATGCTTGGTACGGAGTCCAGTTTGGTTGTTTTGATGATGGATGCGACCATTGCACTATAGCATTGGGTTAGTACATTGTGGCTATACGATTTAGGGCAGAGGTACTTACACGATACCCAAACTCAGAAGACCGATCAAACCGATCTTGATGCGTAGTTTCAAATTCAAGTTCCAGAATATTACTGTCGGGAAGACAGCCAAAAACAGATCGGTGGCTGAGTTGAATGTATTGGAGTAGTAGGCGAATCTGATGATTGCTCCCAGGTTCCCGCAGGTCGTCGTAAGTGCGACTTTTGGATCCCATAAAGCGGCCACATTGCGACAGATGCTCAGTGGCAACACGGCCGATGCAACGTTGCCAGCGAATTGTATCACCAGAATGGCCCATAGCGCGGCTTTGTAGTACTTGTTGGTCCCGAGGACGGGGAGAATATAGAGAATGAACGCGGAGCGGGCTATGGTGGTGCTGATAGTAACGATCGGCACTTGGATTGCGATGTTCTTCAAGACTTCTTCCTTGTCATTTGGCGGTATAGTGTCGAGATCCTTGCCAAACCCATGCTTAACCGACAGGGTCAAGAATGCTGTTGATACGATCGCCAGAAGCTAAAAAGCATTGAAGTCAGTCTATGAAGGTGAACCACAAGCTAGTGAGGGAGATCTACCTCGGCGAAAATCATCAGGCCATCATCGACGCCAAACCGATTGATCTTGATCTTGCCGAAGATCCGTAAAATAACGATCAAAGCAGCAATGACCACCGCAGCCCAAATCCCTTTCTCCAGGGCTGGGCCAAGATCGCTTTGTGACATTGTGTGGGGATAAACAAGCTAACTTGATAGCATTTTCAAACAGGCGATCCCTCATATAATGAATGCGGATTTGCGGTTGAAATAGTCAACGGGTACAAGTCCGGAAGAAGAAAGAGTTTAGCAGAAACCCACGGATGGCCTCGGTCATCAACCCCGGGTAGACAGCTTCTAAGGTTTCTAGAACCATGGTCAACTAGATTCATGGCGGGCAATAGCTCGCATTGTGCGTCAAAACTTGACAATTATCCGTGGCTGAGGTGTGGATTGGTTGTTCTTTAACTTTTGGTCGCGCAAACTCCGGCGATCATTCCTTCTTTAGTAAATATACGCATTCCAACCAATGTTTCAAGGCTGCAGGGTTCGGAAACCCAATTTTGGTCTCGTTCAACTACCGATATTGTAAGTCATTACAACGTAAGTTGTATTTGTGGGGCGAGAGTGATTTTAAATGAGACTGAGAATTGGTTGATATGCTGTCAACTACAATGTTACACACAACATATAAGCTTGTCACATATTAACCGTTGAGGTCAGTCATCCCATATGAAATACCCCTGAACTCGGAAATTGTTGTATGCAAGCGTAAAGCCACCAATATTGAAGGCGCACTGACCTCCGGACATGGATCTCAGCCCTGGAGCCATTAGGGCTCGTTGAGGTGGGACTTGGTGGCGTTCAACCAAAAGCACCGATTGGATGGATTTAATTCGGGTTACACGGAGAAACTGTTCCCAGATCTTAGCTTTTCTTAGCGTATCCGGACGTCCGCGTCGTAAAAAGTTATCGGAGATTAGAAGATTAATGTTAATGGCAAAGAAACAAACCCATTGTGCTTATAATAAAAACAATAGCCATGCGATCAAATTCCGGCTGGTGTGGATCACACTGTCGTGGTAGATTGCGCTCCCATGAACATTCTGCACAACATGTGCTCTGTATCGGTACCTGCTTTTGAATTTAGTATCTCGGTTCCACCCCGATTAAATCCCCCTATCCACAATGAATCCAACTAGACGCACTGGGCAACATCTCCGAATTTTGATTCTTGTTCAATCAAGGGATATGAAGTCCTGTTATAAATAAAAGAGGGTGATCGGCAACACCTATGCCTCCATTCTTCCACAACCTTATCCCATCCATCTCCTCCACCATGAAGTGGACTTCGGTTTCCCTCGTGGCTCTTGCCGCACCGACCATCGCATCGAATTGTCGCTGTTTGCCAAGTGATAGCTGTTGGCCTGCTCCATCAGCTTGGGCCTCCCTGAATAGCACAGTTGGTGGTCGTCTGGTTGCAACCGTGCCAATTGGTAGCCCCTGTCATGAACCCAACTACGATGTTGCCGCCTGTGCGGCGCTCAAGACAAGCTGGAATAACCCGGAGCCCCAGTAAGTCGTGCTAGTCTGGGAAAATTGACATCGCTAATCGCTGCCAGTCTTGACTCCTCTTCGTCGGTGATGCAGACGTACTTCGCCAACCAGACTTGCGACCCGTTCACCGCCCAGTCTAAGCCATGCCTGCTTGGTAACTACGTGAACTACGCCGTCAACGTCTCTTCTAGCGATCAGGTCATTGCTGCTGTGAATTTTGCCCGAGATAACAACATCCGCTTCGTTATCCGTAACACCGGCCATGAGTAAGTCGCCTCAGCGGGTTTTCTGCAGATCAATGCTGATAGGACGTAGTTATCTTGGTCGTTCGACCGGTGCCGGTGCCCTCTCTGTATGGACTCACCACTTGAATGACATCGAATACCAGGACTGGTCTAGCCCGACCTACCAAGGCCCTGCGTTCAAGGTCGGTGCCGGTGTGGTTGGTTACCAGGTCCTCGAGGCCGGATCTGCCAAGGGCCTCGTTGTCGTCAGTGGCGAATGCCCCACGGTCGGTCTCGCCGGTGGTTACACCCAAGGTGGCGGTCACTCCGCCCTCAGCACCAAGTTCGGTCTTGGGGCTGATAACACCCTAGAGTTCGAGGTTGTCACCGCTGCTGGCAAGCTGGTCAAGGCCTCTCGCTCCGAGAATGCCGACCTGTTCTGGGCACTGAGCGGTGGTGGCGCCGGCAACTACGGCGTTGTCATGTCCATTGTTGTCAAGGCACACAAGGACGCACCCATTGCCGGTGCCGCTCTTCAGTTCACGGCAGCTAACATTACCACCGATACCTTCTACGAGGCCGTTTCGCAGTTCCACTCTCTATTGCCCGCCATGGTCGACCAGGGTGTGACTGTCATCTACCAGATGACCTCGAGCTTCTTCGCCATCAACCCCGTCACAGCCTACAACCAGACCACCGACGACGTCAAAGCCATCCTCGAACCGTTCACCTCTAAGCTCACCGAGCTTAACATCAAGTATCAAGCTAGCTTCAGCGAGCACGACTCGTACTATGACCACTACAACATGTACATGGGCCCTCTTCCTTGGGGTAACCTGGCCGTGGGTTCCTACCAGTATGGCGGCCGTCTGATTCCCCGCAAGGCCCTAGAGCAGAACTCCAACGGGATTGGTTCGGCATTGCGCAACCTGACCCAAGCGGGTGTGATCGCCGTCGGAGTCGGGATGAACGTCTCAGCCCCGGTCAACGTCTCGAACGCAGTATTCCCAGCCCTGCGCAACGCAGCAGTGACGATGCAAATCGGCACACCGTGGAACGAGACCGCGCCTTGGTCCAAAATGCTCGAGGACCAATACAAGATGACGACCGAATACGTGCCTCAGCTGGAGGCCGTCACGCCGGACAGCGGCTGCTACCAGAATGAAGCTAACTTCCGCCAGCCGAACTGGAAGCAGACCTTCTTCGGAAGCAACTATAATCCTCTGCTCACTGTTAAGAGCAAGTGGGATCCTTCCTCGTTCTTCTATGCCCTCAAGGCCGTCGGCAGTGATGTCTGGTCTGTGTCCGAGTCGGGGCGGATGTGCCGTGCTTAAGCTTAATAGATTTGGTTTGATTCATTGCATGATGTAAGATAGCGATGCACCATTCCTAGTTTAGATCTGTTTTATATACATCGTCTGTTTGTCTAGAATAATTAGATCATTAGTATGTTTTGGCAGATAATGACTTTTTTTCATTGCCCTTCTAAACGGCGGACCTGTGAATTACTGTATCCGGTTAGGTTTGCCCTTTGTGGTTTAGCGCCTCAGTTCAATGCGACATCCAGCTTGCAATGCCTATCACCTAGAATGTGCTTGAAACTAAGACTTGCGAAAGGAAACATGATATTTACGTATTACACACAGTCATTACCTGCTGGGTTACCTGTCTTAGTGTGGAGCGATGTGATATTAATTTAACTGTTGTTTTACCCCGTGACAAGCCGGCTACAATTAGCTTTCGTCAGATCACGTGGCAGTTCACCGCTCGCCGTGCGTAGTGCGAATCTGATCAACTTGAAATCTAGCACAAGCAACAGCTTCATTTATTTCCAGAAAAGCCGCCCCGGGGGGCTGTTGCAAGGGTAATGCATTCATATTTTCTTCGCTGCAACGTCGAGTGCCGCTTATTAATATCTTGCGTGGTGACATTGTGGCATTACAGGCAGTCTTTATATTTCGTACGCTTATATTATCCCATTTTAAGAATCGGGAGAAGAGAGGACGCCTTTAATAAAGTTCGTAACCTAATTTTAGCCGATTAAAAGAACCAGGGTAGTTTTACGCTTTTTGTGGGGATTCGCTATTCCTTATACTATCGAGGGGCTACTCTATAGCATAAAATTAATTATATGTAGTATATTAAACCGACGCGCCACTCTATAAATTGAAGAGATTTCTGGATTCTTAAAAGCCTAGATTAATAACATCCTACCCTCTTGCTCTATTAAATTTCTAGAGCTTTGGGGGCGATTAGGCGGTATAGTGGGTGGTTGAATTAACTAAGTGCTAATTTATGGACGCATTTTGGTTGAGGTGGCTTGTGAAATAAGTTATGGGCTCGCATTTGGCACCGTATTCGTTTTTCTCTAGAGGCTAATTTTGGGGCTATATCATGTGTACAATGGACCTAGCTCATTTGAGTGGTTGTAAGCCCCACAGCATAGGATTTATGGACAAGTGAGCTGGTGTGGGACCCGCAAGCCCTGCCCTGAACACGAAAATGAATACGAAGACGAAGTTCAAGGGACTTTATCGAACCTGCATCCAGCCCATGGCGTTCCGTAAGAGATCCTAAGAGTTTCCCCGTCTCTCCATACGACATGCCACACATTCAATTCAAGACCTTTTCTTTTTTTATACATCCAAAATCTCCATCTTGTATCTAATATCCCACATGCCGATGCCCGAGTTACAGTCGTCAGAATACTCTGCACCAGCCCAAAACTGCAATTCTCGAGGGCGAACAAGATCCCGCAAAAGCCACACTAAGTCACGTAATGGTTGCTATACTTGCAAACGTCGGAGGGTGAAGGTATAAATTCTATTATCCATAACGGGTCTAATTTGTAATATTGATTCCATTTAGTGCGATGAAGATCGACCTGTATGCGGCGCATGTTCCTTGAGAGGCAGCAGATGTTCATTTCCAGGTAAATCTCTATCCAGACACGCGTGTCGCTGATCTAAATCGTTAATAAATAAATGCTAACATCTCTGTAGAACAAGGCGAACTTACCAATGCCAATAACTCGCCAGATGCTGAGCCGCTTCCAAGGACGCACCCAGCTGAGAGTCCTCTGCAGCCATTAGAATTCGATGTGTCTCAATCCCCAGAGCTCGGCGAGATTTCGTCCACACAGCCAGGAAGGCTGAATATGAATGAGTTGCGACTTCTCCAACATTTTCTCCTGAATACAGCCAAAAGGATGAGTTTAAACCCAGAAAGAGGAATTGTCTGGCAACGAGTTATTCCAGAACTAGCATCGAAGAACGAATTCTTGATGCATTTGATGCTTTCGTTGGCTGGCGTGCATATGTTGTCGGAGAGTCAAAGTCGAAACCACACCGATATCATCAGCGATGCAGATTCAAATGTGGATGCAGGGGCGAACGACCTTGAAACACCAACTCTGATAGATCTTAACATTGTGATAGAACACCACCAGAAAGGTCTCCGTATGTTCCAAGAAGTATTATCAACAGTATCAGCTGCCACCGCAGAAGCTGTATCCTGTGGTTCTTTTTTGCTCGTTGCCTTCGCCTTTGCGTCCCTCCACCTCAGAGACCCGGAGAAAAGCTTCACACCAGCAACCCAAAGCTTGAACACAGGAAGACCACGGCTTGATTGGCTCCATCTTGTCCGTGGACTAACAATTGTTACGGGTCAGCATTGGCACACCCTCAGACGCAGTCGATTGAGAGCCCTTCTATATTATCGGTACAGGAACGACGACTGGAAGCTTCATCCACGGCTGTCCACGCCATCACTTCCTCGTCTGAAGCATTGCTCCCCGCGGTTAAAACGGTTTGCACACGGTGCATACGAAGCCATTTCAAACCTACGGATTTTGACAAGTAACACAACAAGTATTGCTACTCCGACATCTACACACTCCTCATGCAGTTTTCTCTCGGAAAAGCAAGACGAACACGCTCAGACAATCGATATCATGGAGGAAATGTATATGCGTATCTTGCATGTACTACACTTTCCAGGGGGCGAGCAGGATGCTTCGGCTGCATTGGATATTGAAGCTGATATTGAAGATGCAGCAATTATATCCTGGCCACATCTTGTTCCTGGTGGGTTTATTTACACGCTAGAATTGAATGAGGGGCTTGGGGTTGCCGAGGGTGTCTCATACACTATTCTTGCTCATTTCTACTTGATAATTGTTCTGTTTGAGAATACTTGGTTCTTGAAAGGGGGATTTGAGAAGGAGATATCAAAGATAAATACCCTTGTTGGTAGCTTAGGGGACAGCCAACTGGGTTTATTAATGCGATGGCCGGTGGAAGTAATCGCTCTGGAGTGAAACAATTCCATCTGGATCTGGAGTTCTACTGCAATATGAGATGATATTAGATTGTACAGGATAACTAGATACACTATATATGTACTTAAACTGCTTCAGCGCAGTGCAGAAGTTATCATCGAGTTTATAGGATAAAGAAACATTCCACCGTTGCGATCTCAAATATAATAACATCATTAATTGGTGTTGTTTGTTTTTTTGTTCCCGTTCAATGCCCAGAATAATCAATATACTCTCTAAAGAGCGGTAAATTCACGGTTAGACGCCCATTCACTGAAACATAGGCAGGGTTGTCTACTCCTTACACATACTTGAAGGGGCACTCTGAAATATCCCAAGAATCATATTTGTTTACTATCTTCGTCAAGTAGATTTGACGCACCAAAGGAGCCGTCACAAATAACCATAGGCATATTCTCCCAATTTAACTAGAAGACCAAGGTGCCAGTCAGCCTAATATCCCGACTGCTCGAACCAACGTATACTTTGTATTCTCCTCTCTGGAGGTATCAGGTCTGCAATTCCGTATCCCACTGACTGAGGTCACGTCTGGTCAGCGGGAAACTGACAGACTTGCTCTTGTTAGGCTCGATTGCAATCTTCTCAAAGCCTCGTAGCTGCTTAGCTGGTGCGCCTGGTATCCCCATATACAGCTGAGGCACTTCCAAAGCCGAGACCTCTCCAGTATTCAAGATTGATACGGTCACAATGGCGACGACATCCCAGAGGGATTCGATACCACCCTCCATGATCTCGCCCGCAGGTGGATAAAAGAAAGAATTAGCCTCCGTATGGTGTATCTTGTGGTATCAAGCAGTCTATGGCCAAACTCGCTTGTTTACATGATGAGTGACGGCGACATACCGCCCAGTTTGAAAGGTAAACAATACTCTTACCGCGCCACGGGAGTCATCAAACCTCGGGTTTCTGGAACTTACACACTCAGCGTGGCCACCACAGGCAAAACCAAGGTCTTCTTCGAAGGGAAGCTTCTGATCGACAATACGGAGTGGACGGAAGTAGCTACCAGCAATGGTTTCCTCGGATGCTCAAGCCCGGACAAAACAGCGGTCATCGAATTAAAAGCTACTTGTCCCTACAAACTCTCTGTGGAAAATCTTGTTACTTTGCCACCAAACCAGCATCTAGACAATACGCTCTTCCCTTACGTGTCAGGCCTCCGTCTCGGCCTTGCACTCCATGAAAATGAGCAGGAGATGTTCGACCGGTCCGTAGAAGCTGCATGCAGGTCTGGCGTGGCTGTCGTAGTGGTCGGTCACAACAAAGACTCCGAGGGTGAGGGAGGTGATCGAGCAAGCTTGAACTTGCCAGGCCGCACGAATGATCTCATGAGTGCTATCTGTGCTGCCAACCCAAACACCGCTTTTGTCGTGCAGTCCTCTAGCGCGGTTAGCATGCCGTGGGTTGAGCAAGCACGCGCTATTGTACTTGGATGGTACCAGGGACAAGAGAACGGCAATACTTTAGCGGATGTACTACTTGGCAAATGCAACTTCTCCGGAAAGACTCCTATTACATTTCTCCGCCAGTTATCGGACCACGGATCAAGCAAATGGCATCCCGCAGAGGCAGCACAGGACCGCTCCGTCATTGGTGAGAAAGTTCTTATCGGTTACAGATCGTTTGAGGAGCGGGAGGTTGCTCCTTTGTGGCCATTCGGGTTTGGACTCTCATACACATCTTTCAGCCTATCTGGAATTCGTCTTGATGGGCAAATGACCACATCTGTGGATTCGATGATTGTTATCAATGCTTGCTTATCAAATGATGGGGAACATGACGGACATGAGGCGGTGCAAGTCTATATCTCGCCATCGACCCAGATTCGAGCGAAGGGGCTGGAAAGTTACCCGAAGACTCTTGCGGGCTTCATTAAGTCTTGGGTTCCAGCAGGAGAAATGCGTGATGTGCAAATTACTGTTCGCAGTGAGGAACTAAGATGGTACGATGAAGAAGTAGGCAGCTGGATGCTGGACCGGGGCACCTACAGCTGCTTTGTTGGAACCAGCGCTGCTTCTATTGACAAGAAGATGTCATTTGAGGTAATTTAGATACATATAGAATTTACCATATAAATGAATTCACGTTGTTCTCATCAGGCGCCATACCCAAGGACAGTTCAGTAACGTTCGCAGGATTGCACCGGATTGACGTGAAATTGCTCACTGAAAAAGGGGTTGGCGATCCATTGGATTAATTGAGAAAGATAAAATCTCTCATGGAAATTCCAAGGCCTGTGAGAGCAACGCAAGAGCTAAATGTATGGATATTTTACTGATACACTCCCGCTGTAAGCTGAGATGAACCCACAATTTCCTTCCCTATTCCACTCTCACCACGAAAACCATACCTAAATATCTATGAAGATAATAGAAAATATATATTGAATACGTTCTATAGAGGTTTAAATCTATGATGGATCTTTATTTAGTACTTCGATATAAATAACAACGACACGCTGAAAATATAGCTCAATGCTAAATCTATGTGCATAATCCTAAATTCTATATAACCAAATCAAATGCTATCGCCCGGCACCAAAGTATACATCAAAACATTTTATATACAAACAACAAGCTTAAACCTCGGCATTGCTAGCGCAAGAGAAGCTGTTGTTGGAGGCGTCATCATGAATAGCCTTGCCGGAAACGTAAAGGCCAAGACCACACATGCAACCACCAATCAGAATAATGCACACGTTCAAAATGGTGAGTGCAATCTTCCGAGGAGAAGAGAACCAGTAACCCTTGTTGATGTGCAACCAGTACACACCACCAAGACCGTAACTGAACCAACTGGCGAACAGCGAGCTAATCAGACTCAACAAATCACTGAAGACGGGAATGGCATCGGCAATGATCCAGGCAATAACCCAGCAAGTAAGAGCAATGCCAACCCAGGAGCCAACAGCAACCATGTCACGCTTGTGCATGCGGTCAGTGCCACGGAACATGCGGACGTAGATGTACTTAAGACCGATGTGGCCGTTGACGACACCAGCACCGATAATCTGTTGAAAGTGTTAGCAGCCGAAGAGAGGGTAGAATCAGAAGACACGTACAGTTGGGATGGCAATTCCGTAAGCAACCTTCTTCAGAATAGGGCCCGCGGATCCAAGAGCGGGGGATGTGACATCCTGGCCGACATAGTAGTAGATCACCACTGCAGCAACGGTGTAGAAGACAATTTCAAAGGTCTGCAACATGATCAGAGCCTTGGGGAAATCCTTAGGTTGCTCCATCTCAGCGAGCAGACCGAAGAAAGCCACGTGGGCGCAATAGGCAAAGACGATGTTGGTGACAGCGCCGAAGGCCTGGACCAGATCGGTGTCGACAGTAGCCTTGAGGCCATGACCACCCTGGTTCTGCACACCCACTGCGACCATGGTAATGATAACAGCAGTCAAAATACTGCCGAAGGCTATATATGACAATTAGCGATTATTCTTCCCGAGTGCAGGCGGAGTTCAGTTGTACATACACAGGCACGAAATATAGGTCATGTTCTTCATGGTACGGGGCAGAGAGCAGACAAAACAAATGATGAATCCGACAGCGGTGAAAACCATCGTACAAGTTCCGTGCTCGGTAACGGTGTTCATCATGACACTGAAAGTCAAGATGTGAGAACCCATGATGAAAATCGAGAAGAGCAACTGGCCGAGGCCGAACAGCTCACGTCCAAAAGCACCGAACAAGACCTCGCCAGCGTCGGCCAAGTTCTGGATGTGGGGGTATCTGGCGCGGAATTGGTGGATCGTGTATCCAGTGTAGGTAGCGAGAATGCCCAGTCCGATGATGAGGATAAGAGCTGGGGCGAGGCCTAGCTGGGCGAGGGTCTTGGGCAGGGACAAGACACCCAGAGAGACGGATTCGGCAATCATAACTAGAGAATGGTCAGAGTTGGTTCATAGCAATTGATCAACAGATCAAGATTTGTGACCATGGGCATTGTGCTAGCACTTACACATTCCCGTTTGCCTATCGCAGAATTAGCCCATATTCTTGGTTGTTGCTTCATTGCATGAACTTACCACCACTTCATAGTTTTATATTTAACCTCAGCACCCTCCTCATTTCCAAAGGCATCTTGATACTGCGGACTCTGGTCCTCCAACATCTTCTTCTCATTATATCCCGACTCCGAGTCGGTCGCCTCCTGGTATGGTGTCGCTCCATCGTGAATCATGATGTCGACGCGTATAGACCGACAGGGAAGGAGTGTAGGCGAAAGGTGAGAAGAGAAGTAAAGGAAGAGGAGAATAGAGCCCTTGTATGTGTCTAAAGGAAAAAAATTCTTGAGCCAAGTGGAGCTTTCAACGTTAACTAAGACAACCCCAGCTTAACTTGTATGGAGAGTTGGAGCGCATAATTCTGGGGCCCGGGTCTTCTGGAAGGGGTGTATCAGGGCTTATCAGTGTCAATTCAATTTCTATTGCCAATTCACATTATGTTTTCAATAATAATGCGGCTCAGATAAAAAAAAAATGCAAAGCTTTGATGCCAAGTTGTGATCATCCATAGAAATTAAGCGTAGGTGGGTCCACTTCCGAACTCAGAGTGGATCCACTGTGGCCCGCTGTGTCAGCAGTTGGCCAATCACGGACTCGGCTCAGAATTCTATTATCTAACAAGAATCGCCGGACTCGCGTGGCTGGCCGATGGTAGCCGCTTATTCCGATGCTGGGCCAATCCCGAATCTCAATGGTTTCAAGCTGTTACTAAATGCCAAGATGTGCCTTCGTTTATTGGTTTCTCTCTGCAAATTATCTCCGTTATTGTCAATCTGAACAGTGTACGGATACTGATACTACCTAGGTATATTTGTAGATTGTATTTAGTACCAAAGTAACAAATCAATTACCTAGGTAGGATCCAGGGGCCGAAAAAAAAGGCCAGTGTACATAGGAGCAAACCGTGGGTCTTGGAGTGAAGCTCTTTTGCCACCCAAAAAATTAATTTTAGTCAAGCCTTGCCAATTCCACTTAGGCAGACATTTATGGTTCGGCTATTTTGTCAAGCCGCGTATCCGAAGGTTAATGCAGCCCTGAAGGTTAGGGCAGGTACTCTACGGAGTACTCACCGGGCTAGGTAGTATTTGGTGGTTCGGGTCTGGTATTCCCGAACAGTCCCTTGACCACATACTTGAAACGACCAAGCTGGTTTGAATCATACCTTCCTAATCCGGACAATGTATGATGTGAACATATGTATGCATATCACAAACTGAAAGAGCTATTGGAGTATTCGAGCCTCTCTCCATATTCTGACCTCTATATCTCCAATTTCCCCCGGACAACCCCGGGTTGCGAAGCAATTCGAACGTAAGTTAAAGTTTAAATCCGGGAATGAATCCTTCTCCGCATTCAGCCCATACCCCAAAGCACTCCACCTCTCGCACTCTTCGTGGAGTCTATCATGTAACATAGTCAATGAAAGTGTTGATCTCACCACACTACCCTACAAGCCCCTCCTTAGTATGGGGTATGTTACCCAATATGACAAACTATGGACCGAGGGCCGAAATCTTCCGCGAACGCAATGACCCGTGGCCCATGCGCAGGTAGCATAACCGTATCCCGTTTCGGCGAGCTAGCAAGGGTTGTCACAACACAAGATTCCACTTCTCTGACTTAGGAAGATAGTGTCGTGGCCCATGAAGGTACGTAAGGTCTGCAAACGACACCCCGCTCTAATAACAACATACATCGTATATCTATACAATATACTATTTTATGGATGATGACGGGATAGGCTACAATGATAGAGATAGAACTACTAATATGGAATGCTATTGGTTCTGATGAATAACTAAGAAAGGGAAAGAGAGTATGGGAAGCTAGAAGATAGCAATTATAGAGGTCTTAACTAGTTATAGTAAATAGGGTTACGTAGTTAATAGAATACGTGACGAGTTAGTTAGTTACTAGACCTAACTAGTTGTGTGCAAATTTACAATCGAGAGTGGGTCGTCTCGTTGACCATGCCACTGATCAGAGATCACCGTGGTCGCTGTCTTGTTGTTCAAAAAACGCAGGCTCTAGAAGCGTCAAAACTGTGATTCATTTAGCGTCAGTGTCTTGTTGCGCTCGAAGAGATCCACGGTGATGGCATCTGTGCCAACATTTGTAGCCTCATGGACCAAACTGAAGGAGGCTGTCGATGCTGGCAACCTTAGTCGCTGGCGGTATCGTGCAAATGCATCCTGGAAATTGTTTGCTGCGGTGTATGCACCCTGCATTGCAAATGCATAGACTGACAGTGCCGAGGTGGTCATGACAAAGAAGTCAAGTGGCATCGATAGGGTGACGTTGTGCAGGTTTTTGGTTCCTTGTACCTTGGCTGACAGGCCACTGTTCCATCGCAAAGATGAAAGCTTGTCGAAGCTCAGGTCCAGATAACAGACAGCTGCATGTACAATCCCCTTGATCGGTCGAGCCGAAGCGAGTTGTTGGATCACGCCTGAAAGCTGCTCCATGTTGATGTCACACACAACAGAGTCAATGTGAATATCACGACGAGACAATGATTCAACGAATTTTTGAGCGGTGGGAACGGTGGTAATATCCCGCCTAGAAAGGAGTGCCAAATGTCTTGCACCCCGATCAGCCATCCATCTGACTAGGCATTGCCCTGATCCTCCTAAGGCTCCAGTAATGACATAACAGGCCTCGGGGTTGAATTGGACGGTTGGTGCCGAAGGGACTGTTCTGAATTGACTCTTCTCTGCAAAAGTTAGTATCTGCTTGCCAACCATGTTGGAAATGTTACCCAAAACATGGGATATCTCAGGTACATCAGTTGTAGTAATTCGAGGAATAGGCCCGATGAGGCCATTGAGATAGTACTCATGGACTTTGTGCATGAGGCTGGTAACCAATAGAGAATCCGAATCGGGAATGATGGAAGGATCGACTGGGCAGTATGAAACATTCTTTGAGAGCAGCTGCGGATCACTGCCCCCAGTATTTTGTACACCAGCTCGCCCAATATCTATGAGATGACCGAGAGGCGCTAGCACCCGGAGAGAGGATTCTAGAAAGTCCCCGTGTGCAGTGCTCAAAATCACATCAAATTTACCCCTCCGCGTGGCTTTTGCAGCCCGCCGGAGACTTGCAGGGCTAGTCACCAAGGCAACATGCGAAGCTGGTAGGACCATCTCGACAAGGAAGCCAGCTTGCTCAGGAGTCTCGACCATGGCAAAAACATTCGCTCCTTTTGTTTTTGCGAGACAGATTGCTGCCCAAGCCGACATCAGTCGTGTCTGATTGGATGAGTGCCGCGTGTTCCTTTTCTGAGATGAGCGACGTTCTCAAGGGGAAAGAGGGCCCCCGCGGAAACATCGGTGAGGGTATAGTCTTTGTATGATTTGATACCATTTGGACCGTTGAAAGCTTTCATAGCGATACGTGTTGCGCCACCAGTACCACCGCCAATCTCCAGAACGCGGAGATTAGGGCCAACGTGGGCGATGTCGCTCAGGATATTGAAGAGCTGGAGGTAGACTCCCGTCATCAGAATACCGGTTTCATAGAAGGGTGTCAGTAGTCCCTCGCTGATCAGAAGTTCAACTCCAGTTCGACGTTCGTGGAGAATATCGGTCATGTTGTCGTGTAGCAGCTTGGCAATCTTCATTTCCATCACATCGGGTGCCTCACTGACCAGCTTCTCGATTCCTTGGAGTCTCCCCTCAGTTGAAAGTCGTCTGGCCTCCTCCATCACATTTGCTGCGAGATCGTACGCAAGTACTTCTATATGCTGTGACAGCGGCTGGAACCTCGTCGGTATTCGTTGTCGTCTACTACCTTCCTATCTACTTTCAGTTTGTGAACAATGATGGAGCCCTCATGGCAGCTGTGCGTCTGTTACCATTTGTTGTTATCGCCGTCGTGGTCAACCTTATCTCGGGGTCGCTTCTCCACTTCATAAAGCTTTATAAAGTCATCTTTCTAATTGCTAGCATTTTCTTGCTGGCCGGTGGTGGTCCCTTGGTAGCTTATTCAAAGCCTAGCACTACGACGGGCACCCTCTACGGCTTATCAATTCTCACTGCGGTTGGCAGCGGTCTGTCTATGGTGACCGGCTATACAGTTTCGACGTTGACTACGAAACCCGAGGACACGGGCGCTGGACTAAAGTTGCAAAATGTTGCCCAGATTGGTGGCCAGGTTATCGCACTCGCCGTCGCGGGACAGATCTACCGATCGCGAGCCTTGAACAATCTGCAATCTGCTCTTGCTGGTCACGGATACTCGTACGCAGAAATTTCGGGCGCGGTGGCCTGTGCGCAGAGTACACTGTTTGAGAATCTGGAGGGTGGACTACGGGACACGGCAGTTGAGGCTATCTCGCAGGCGATGCGGATGACGTTTGTACTGGTTCCTGTTGCCGGAGGCGTTATGTTCATTGCCGCATTGTTCATGAAGTGGGAGAAGCTCTTCGGACCTCATGTTGCTGTGGGTGGTTAAACGAGGCATTTGAGGGAAGCTTGAATGTAAAAATGCTGTAGCACGAAGCGACGTCCTCTCCAGAGGTGAGGAAGGGACACATGGTCTTAAGTATATAGAATCGGCCAAGGGGGAAACATTCATTCGGATTTCTTACCCAGATAATCTGTAGGCCTAGGGAATATGGTGGAAAGACAGTAACTAACGTAATTCGTAAGCGAGTGGATCAGACAAGTGAATGGATCAGGCAGTACAAAACGCGTCCATCAATTAGCACTTAGTTAATTCATCCTGACAGAAAGCCGGTGTACGAACAATGTATGGTATAGATGACCAATGTTGAAGACTAACTAACTAAAATGACAAAACCCGCTATTTAAACAATCTGTGCAGACCTCGATGACTAACTATAATATATACTTTTGTATAGTATGCCTGGTACCTAATGTCATATGATATTTCCGGTATAATACCTGGTTTCTACTATGTATTTGGGCTTGGTATTCGACAGGATACAACCTTTGCCCTCAATCAGAGGCGTCTAACCCAACTGCGGCCTTAACAATACGTATACTACTAAATGGCCAAGTCATAGATGATCTCAATATACCCGGACTACAAGATAAAGCTGTCAGGAATTACAGCGTATAGGATAAATCGAATATCGGGGACGATAACCTGAACGCTCAATTCCGGCAAATATACAATATCTCAAAGCTGTAGACCTCAAAAAAAGTGGTCGCTAGGCTGGAAGACCATGCGTTATTTTGTCATAGCAATAGCAAAATCCCACCTCGTATTATTCATCTATACTCGAAAAAGCCAGTATCAGTAAGCTCTCGAAGTGATAATGTCAAAGCGTGCCTGGCTGATTACTGTAATGAATTAAGTAAACAAATTAAAATATATACCACTAGTTAGAGGCATATCTACTTCAAACCTCTTTAAGTATAGTAGAAAATTCTTTGGAAAATTCGATATCTCGTATATATAACATCCCAGCTTAAAAGTCCCTACTGGATCCCTAAATAGTTTCCACAGTGGGCAAAGCCTCGATTCGGCCGTATTTCCCTTTAGCAGCCGACACGAGGAAGGCTTTGCAGGTTTGGAGGTCCGGAGGGTCTTTAGCGTTGGGATGCAGCTTAAGGAATCTAGAAGATAGTTATTCTATAACATTCTATTCCACAGTCATAGTCGCTCTCTATACGCGGCAGGACTGCCTGTCTGATTTCGGAGTTATCGAAGTCGCTTAGGTTCACCACATTACAGGTATAAGTCAGCAGTGGGTCTTTTTTCGCCATAATTGCTTTCGACTGAAAGTAAGAGGGAAATGGCAGAGGGATAGGAATGAAGTAGAAGGGAAGTGGAAAGGGGTAAGGGCAACTGGTGGCAACTGCCTAGAAGGCAAGGACATGGTGTCTGCTCCCGCATCGCGAAATCTTTCCCTTAATCAAAATGTACAAAAGCACATTTTGGGGCAGGGCTTCACACCTCTGGGTGAAGACGCCTGAAGCCGCCCGAACTCGCTTGATGGCCGACTGCGTAAAGCGGCGAGCCGCACAGCACCGAACGATGGGCGCTAGGTGAGCATCGCCATAATATGGCTGTTGTATGTTTTTGTTTTATTTTGAGTCTAGTATATATTGTATAGCTAAGCTATAAAACTAACTTGGAGAGTAGATTTAAAAGCCTTTCGCTTAGGCCGGCCCCCTAACGGACCTCCTTGGAGGACTTCACAATACTATATAATAGCGCCGCTGCCCCTCTTCCTCTGATGAGTTAGAAACTAGGGGAGCTGAACTTGGGGATGGGAACAGACTTTTGATGAAACGTAGAACGTTCGAGGGCTCATTTCCCAAAGCCTAGCCTTGAAGTTCTCGCAGCATAGCTTCTATCTCGCCATCAAAATGTCTCAAGAAATCTTCTAATCCACGCGCCGTACTCCATCCCAGCTTGTTACGAGCAAAATCAGCCCGAGCTCGCGAACTAAATGAAACATTAGCATGTCACCCCAAAGATGTCAGAAGGTCACTTACTTCGATGCAAGGGTGATCTCCACGAGGCTCTCATTGCCTTTGGTGATTTCTGCAGCTGCTTCATTGAGACTGATTGACTTGACTTCGTTCGTCGCCAGAAGACCCCTCTTGTGCATGGCATCGGCAATACCCTGGCTAACCTGAAGCCATGTATGTTCGCCACTTTCAACGAAGAAGATAGCCTCCGCGCCAGAAGGAAGCCAGCTCTGCTTCTGAATGACAGCACGGAATAGCAGAAGGTAGAACGCGGAGAGGTCGTCCATGTGGACATGGTTCCAGATCTGTCAATACAAACAGTCAGTAAAATTAATGACTCCACCCGTTCGTATTCACACGTACGCCTTTGCCGCTTTCAATCACAACAGCATGTCCACGCCTCCGGGCCAAGCGTGCAAGATTGGGGACCTGTTGACTGAGAGTCGCAAATGGACCGGATCCCTTTCCATCTGCTAAGTATGAGCAGGTAAACCAATCTCTCCACATTGATTCAACGTACAAATAGTAGGAGGGACGACGATATACGTCTTCACACCAAGACTCAATCCTGTTTCCACAACGGCAACATCCGCGACTCGCTGTCCGTAACGTTCAGGGTGATATTTTTCCATGGCATAGATATTGTCCTCGTCGGACCAAATTTTCTCCTGCACGGTGGCGCTATAAGGGTGGTCGCCCAGAATGGAGGTACCCGATGTCTAAACTGTATCAGTTTCCGCACTCAGTAGCTGCACCACGCGAAGAAGGAAACTCACATGGATCAAGTACGAGCCTCTTCCTGTGGCCTTCTGTCTCAGAGCCAGACCCTCAATCAGCGCCTTGGCAGAGCTGTCATGGGATGCAGATGCGGCATTGATCACAACTGGAGAAACGTTGTCAGTTAAAGAAGGATACATGTGAGACAGATTGATTTGAATACCATCCATTTTGGAAGCTGCATCCCTGCAGGCCTCTAAGTCATCCAGTCCCTGGAACTGCAGTGGCTTCACGCCCAAGTCCTCAAGCTTCGCCCTTTGTTCTGGGCGACGGATGAGGGCCGAAATGCTCAGCTGGGAAGCTTCCGGGGACCGCAGTATCTCGGAGAGAACTGATCCGCCACTATTCGAAGGTCAGCCGGGTGACCCTTCCACTATTTTGCTATTGCTGTAAGTGTGAACGTACATGTACCCAGTTGCCCCCACAATAAGCACCTGTGTCTTACTGTCAGCCATTTTTTATTCTTGTTGAGAGAATTTGCTGGCGCGATTTGAAGAACTCAAAAGGTTCTACCAGCGAACTTAAAGTCTTTTGCCAGAGATTCATGAAATCATGACAACAACAAGTAAGTTCATTACTAATTTGCCCGAAGGTAACGTTCAGAAACAAAACTCTCCGGATTACCAATGTGAAGTTCGGGAAGATCTTTCTCATTTCCTATACATTATGAATGCAAAATCATAGAAGTTGGATTCACAGGTTGGACCTTCCTCGCCTTTGGTGCTTCGGTGGAGCCGGATTGCTAATCAGGTGGGTATTCTAGTACTATAGGATATGTATTTTACACGGAACTAGCATACACACGAATTAGGATGCTCGATTCGTTGATCTATATACTACTTTAGAATAGTTTAATTATCTCCTATTCGATATTCTATTTATTAGTTTTACCCCTACTATATATTTAGTATATATTTAGTATCTACTTACTATTTACTTACTTTATTTCTAAATAGCGCTAAGTATCGAACTATTTAAACGAGAATTTAGACGAGAATTTAGACGAAGAAAGTTCTAAAACCTCGGATAAAGATAAAGGGGATAGTGATTACTACCCTATATAAAGTAGTATAACGCGTTAATATCCTAGTAGAATTACTATTAATAGTAGTAATACGTTAGGTATTATCGCTTAAAAAACTTAAGAGTATCTTATTCTTCCCGACTATCTTAATACCGATAATGATAGTATTTTATATATTATCTATATAGCGAAAAATCCTATCTTATGTCTAAATCTAACCCTAGATAATATTAATCGAGAGCACAATGGGCTTTTCCTTTTGCCTAAAGCCTATAATTTTGCATAACTATCCTATATAGGAAATCTTGATGACATTTTATAAAATCTTTCCATAAAAAAGTCCAAGTTGGGCTTTTTTATGGGCTTTACGGAAGCCTAGTACTATCTAATAGAAACCATGCAATCCTTACACAATCTTAATAGGAGTGGCTGCCTGTCAGGCTGCTACTACAACCACTACTACACCTCCTATATCGCATTGAGCCGTATAATTTGTACCTAAATCCTATAAATATATCTTATTTCGACTTCCCTATCAAATTCTCCCATAACATTTCGCCCACAAGCGGCTCCGAGGCTGGAATATAGTTCAACACAAGCCCTCGACTTATGCCGGGACAAATAGAATGAGTGATGAGGAACTTTTGCACAAACCGCAGTGACAGAATATATCTCCCGAAGAGGTAATCCGTGCTGGTCGCCCATGTTGAACGGCGTATGGATCGAGTAGAACGCGCGTAATCTGCCTCCAAGAATGGTTTCCTCTCGTGCTGGTACTTGTCAAATGCAGCTTGAACAACTGTTTGATCCAAAGCCTCTCCTCCGGCAGGGCTAGCGATACAGGAGGATATTTGCATGTGCAGTTGGTTGCACAGTGAAACCACATCCTGGATTCCGTTGTTGAAACCCAGGCCAGAATTTGGAGTGAATTTGTGATACGCATCTCCAACGAGTACGATCCTTCCACTCCAACTGATGTTTTCGACAATTCCTTCTTCCAGATTTGCCATGCCAGCAATGCAAGAGGGGTGGTGAAGTACATCTGAGACAGTTAAAGTCTCAGTAAGTGGCCATTGGCAAAATGTGGCCCCGTAGAGTTGGCGGTCATTGTCGTCATAGAAAACTCTCTTGTTTGACGCTTGGGAAAGCTTCTCGTAAAGGAATATCCACGATCTCTCGCGGCCCGTGAGATATACTACTGAGCGGTCCGGACCTTGCATCTCGTAGCTGTCTCCAGGACCGGAAAGTCGAGGGATAGAGGCCCAAAGGCATCTATAGTTTGATGTATATGGTGATTCGACATCCCAAATGGGAGCCAAGGATGGATTTGCTTCTAGCGCATGACGACGCATAACCAAACGGGTTCTGGAGTGGGCACCATCTGCACCAATGACGACAGAGCCTGAGAATGATGTGCCATCGGTACAGATGACCCTCACGTCGTTACTGCTAACGACAATGTCAGAGAGCTTCTTACCCGTACGGTAGCGAGCTTTTGCAACTTCAGGCAAGCCGTCATAAAGCGTACGGATGAGTTGGGCTCGGTGAAAGGTCATTAGAGCACTGCCGTGGCTATACCAATGTTAGCAATGCAGTACTGGATCAATGGATAAAATGATGTGGAGATATAACAAGTAGAAACAGGCCGATGAAATCAGCCATTAGGGATAGACGTCTTCAATAGGTTCAACGGGCTGTAGATAGGGAAAGAACGAGATTATTCTCAATTTGATACCTACTTTTTCTGCAAAAGGCTCAGGGCGTACGAGCGTTTAAAGTTGGATTTCTTTGTGTTAAAACCCTCGTTGTGATGAAGGAACGGATAGCCAATGTCGAAGAGTTTCTCCAATAAGCCGAACTGGTGGAACACGCGCAAATTGTGTGGACTAATGACCAGGCTAGCACCTACATCCTCAAATATATCATCGCGTTGCTCGAGTACGATGAAATCAATACCGGCGTGATGAAGGGCATGGGCAGCTGTGATCCCAACCGGCCCCCCGCCTATGATAATGGCCTTGAAGGATTGCAGCGTCATGGAGTTTTTTTTTTTGAGGTTTTTTTTTTTTTTTTCGTATATGCGCTGGGAATGCGAAGTGCTAATATGAAATATTTGGGCGCAAAACAAGGTACAGGACTAGGATCTTCAGACGCTCAACACTTTGCAGTTTATAAGTGAGGGGGTGTTAGCGACCAAGCCTGGCATTACGCAATGGTGCTATTGAAAGTCGCAATATAATGAGTCCACTCAGTACCACATTTATGAGACATTTGTATAAAAGTCTGACCTATTTACAGTAAGTCCATTGAGATGGTCATAAGCGATCATCCCAGGCTGGAACCGGAAGAGAAAGTTCTGTTCAATCTAGCAATAGAAAAGGGGGAGACCATGGCAGCTTTCAGTATCCTTTCATCTATCTATTTTCTCTGCAAACTGGTTTCATGATTGAAATAGATTGTAGCCTCCAATCCCCTACAGAACATATATAGCCTGTAAGTAGTACACTTAATATCTGTTCATATTGACTCTATTAATGTGCCCACTGCCTTTATGACCATGGTCAGGACTACAACTTCTGTTTTAGAGGCAGTGTATTGGGAAATGTTGCAATAGCATCTTGCAGGGCTTGATCAGCCTACATTCGCTTGGTCAGTTTCCACTTGAACAACAGAGGCAGAGGCTTGACTGACCTCGTGATAAAACATCCAGGTGTGTTTCGACAGTGAAACATTTTCGATTTGGCCGGCAATCTCCTCTTCTGCCGACGCGGAGTGGCGAAAAGTCTTCTGATGAGCTGAAGCAATCTCATCTAACGTTTCGTACAGTTTCCTGTAATGGGATGACCGCACCTTGTCAAAGAGCTGCAAGGCTTCCGTCAGAGAGTGAGATGAAGAGGCTGCCCAACGAAGTGCACCTGCCAACACATGAGAATCCTCAATGGCGAAAGCAGCACCGGCACCAAACGCCCCCGAGAGTGGATGAGACGCATCACCAATTAGAGCCACGGAACTGTGATTAATCACGGTCTGCAATCGCGGCCCGCCGAAGTAGTCGAACCGCTTCACCCGAGTCACCAATGATAAGAGCTGTTGAATCGGCTCGCAGTACTCGTAGAAGGTCTCAACAAACTTTGCCACATTAACCTCTTTGCCCCAACTCGTCCGATCATTGTCGTCGGGCTCTCGAATCCTGCAAGTAATCTCCCAGTCGCCGTTGTCAAGTGGACTTGTATAAATCCACTTACCATCAGTCCCGTACCAGAATACGATAGCCTTTGAGAGGCCATTAATCTGTCGGACGTCTGCTGCTCTGACTACTGCTCGATACGCTGTCATGCCCGAGTAGCTGACACTATACTCGGGGAATGCAAACGTTCGAATGGTCTGATGTATCCTTCTGTCAGCGTCATGGTAATGCCTTGCTTTGCCTTGTTGAGTAATTTTCAACTCACAGAACGGATACCATCGGCCCCAATAATAAGATCTACCTCGTCAAGGGAGCCACAGCTAAAAACAAGGCGAAGTCTCCCACTGTCCACTCGTTCCACTTTCACTAGTTTTTTGCCTGGCTGAACGCGACGTTGGTCAACGTTTTTGAGCAAGGCTTTCTGTAGTCTGCCCCGATGGATTCTGCATGGGGCTTGGTGGGGAGCCACGTTCGGCAATGGGTATGTCTGTTTCACAACTACACCAGTCCTTCCGTCTCTGGGCGGTTTGTATATTAGTTCATGGCTCATAGTCCTGTAAAAGCAGCAAACCCGGCTCACCTATATTGAGTGTCGTGCCCATCTTTCGGTCTGAAGAAGTCCCCTGCCTTGAGATGCTGGGACACTCCAAGTTTTTCCAGTAGTCTCCATGTGTTGCGTTGTAGAGCAATCCCCGTGCCGATCTCGCTGATACTCGGTTTCTGCTCGTACAGGGTCCATTCCACAAACGGTAGTCTAGCAAGCTCGATGGCAGCCGAAAGCCCAGCAGGTCCGCCCCCAATAATAGCGATCTTGATGCCGGCTTCTATTTTTTTAGGGCCTTCCATGGTAACTGTTTTCGCAATTATGTTTGGACGTGTAGTGAGAAGTAAAGGGTGACTGGCGAGCAATAATACCTGGAAGATCTGGTAGGGGTATACTGTAGAAATCCCAACCGGGTCCTCGTGATAATGGGACATTCCACCTTCCTAGTGGAAATGACGCCACCAAACCATCTATATGGCACGAAAATGGATTTACTCTGTCGGAACTAACCCCATTTGAGGGTCATCCCTCGGTCAGGCTGCGAAATGTTCCCGAAATCCGATCATGGGAATACACGCTAAGCCCGTGGACATGGTTCGATATTTACCAAGAGGATGGGTCTTCCAGCCACAAATCTGTAAGATCACCTGCAAACAAATCATATGCTGTGCCTGCCAGACTAACGATAGGGGATATAAAACCACTTGGGTTGAACGTTATTCTCATTTAACGTCGTCTGAGAAGAACTCCGAGCTATTTCGCTGGTTTATCCTTAAGAGATTGGTTATAGGCACGCAAGTGGAATTATTTCTTCAGTTCTAATTTTTGACCAGTGTAACTAACCTGTACACATTCCTTACAAGAAGGTAGGTAAGATATTGCGATGAGATAGAACGCAAGACGGACCTTGTTTTTCTCGTCGACTCCTACTCTCCTGCTTTCTCTCCTTGTGCAAGAGACCTTTAGCAAATGAGCTCATATAATAAGAAATCACCTCATCTGAGCTAGTATAGCCATTATCCGGGCTTCCTTCCTATGCCTCAAGGTTGAGTTATTGAGGTCCTACAAGGCTCTAGTTTGAACCACTTACAAAGTCATCTTGATGGTGTCGCAATATTAGTAGAATCGTAAACATAAGGAAGCACAATCTAGAATCTTGCCGCACCGAAGTTGGCTTTCTCCCCTGCGTTGGGTCCGCGATCCGAAAGTCACCGGCGAACCTCCAAAAAAGGGAAATATACACATCTTTAATCCATATTCAAATTCTCTTTTAGCTGATTGGACTAGAGATAGTCATTTTTTGATACAAATACCTCAGCTCAATCGCGCAATTCTTATCTCAAATCCCGCGATGAAGCTTGCGACTAGTCTATTAATACTAACCAGGCTCCTTCTCAAACGGATTTTGAGAGAATCGCTGTACCAGATCCTATTTTTAAATCTTCCCTTTTCCAAGGCAAAATGGCCGACCCAAAATGGCAAGAAGACACAGAGCTTGCTTCTACTGATGACTCCAACAAATATGAAAGCAAGAGGATAACTTCGACTCCGGTGGATCAAAATGAAGAGTTGATTGACACCCGCCAGGTTGATCTTGCGCTTACAAGAAAGATGATCCTGGTCAACGCGGCAATTGACGAGGTCGGGATGACACCATTTCATTGGAAGTTGTTCGTCCTCAATGGGTTTGGATATGGAGCCGATAATGTGAGCAACCGTCTGTCAGCTGCACTTTTCCTGGTTATTAATATTTCCTAGCTCCTTGTCTTATGCCAATCAGTCTCACAGTCTCCTGTGACACAGCAATTTGGCAATCCAAGCAAGCATATCACAGGCATTTCCATGGCGTCCCAAGTGGGGCTATTGGTTGGTGCAGCCCTCTGGGGAATATCAGCAGATATAGTGGGCCGCCGTTTGGCATTCAACAGCAGCTTTTTCATTTGCGCCGTCTTCGTTCTCATTGCCGGAGCAATGCCGAATTATATCTCCTTTGCCGCCATGTCAGTGATTCCAATAGCATGTCCTATCCGATAAGCCTTTCTCAAATTCTCATAGGGTTGCAATTTATTCCGCTGCTAACGGTGGGAACTACATTCTTGATACGACCAATCTGGTCGAATTCTTGCCCGTCTCTCACTCGTGGCTGACCACCTTTTTGGCAGTATGGTGGGCAGTCGGTTATACTATCACGGGTTTACTTGCCTGGGCGTTTCTTGGAAACTACAGTTGTCATTCTGATGTGACAATCTGCACAAACAGAGATAATATGGGATGGAGATACCTTCATTTCACCTGTGGAGGGTTGATAACTCTCTTGGCTATATTGCGAGTCTTTGTGATTCGGATGCCACAAACGCCGAAGTGGCTCATCACTCAGAATAGAGATTCTGAAGCCTTTGACCTTCTGAAAAATATCGCCGACTGCTACAACCGACCATTCTCATTGACTTTGCAACAACTTGAAGAGCCAGGCCATGTGTTGAATTCGGAAAAGTCTGTCTGGTCCTCTGTCCGCCTTAAAAAACACTTCTCGGACTTATTTGCGACTCGCCGTCTTGCATATTCAATATTTGTAATCAGTCTCAATTGGTTTCTGATCGGGATTGTCAGTCCCCTGTACACCGTCTACTTACCCTATTATCTCGCCTCTCGAGGGGCAGACACTGGCTCCGATGATTCGACATATATTACATGGCGAAACTACGCCATTAATCAATCCTGCGGCCTTATTGGACCCATCATTGCTGGAGGCCTGGTTGAAACAAAGTACCTCGGCCGGCGAGGAACCCTCGCAGTTGGCGCCGCAATTACAACAGCGCTACAATTTGGCTATACCCAGATAAAAACTTCCCTGCAGAATGTAGCGATTTCCGCGGCAATTACTGCGGGTGGCAATATTTATTACAGCACACTCTATGCATACACTCCGGAAGTGTTCCCCTCTGCCCACCGTGCAACGGGATATGGGCTCTGCGTTATAATTAATCGTATTGGTGGTGTCATTGCGATTTTGATTGGAAGCTATGCAAATGTGAACACGACCGCTCCATTGTTTGTTTGTGCCAGTCTATATGCAATCTTGGTGTTGACAAGTTTGATGTTGCCTCTCGAGACCAGAGGCAAGAGATTTGCCTAGAGGGACTTTGAGAGCGACTAGGAAAGCGCAGCCATATCAACCGAGTGTGTTTAAATTAGGCTGGAAGATAGTCAAGCGTTAGGCTGTTGAGATCAAATGTGTTGAAGTCGGTGGACTGGGACGGGAGTTTCATCTGGAACTAGGGCTGTTACGAATATTATTCGCGCAAATATTCGCAGCAAATGTGAAATGCGAATATTCGTTGCCAGCACAGTACAGTCGTATTGCTCTCTCTTCTCCCAGCTCGCCATTATTAAACTATAATTTAATAAAGACTTTATCTTCAAAGATTATATATAGAGAAAAGGCCTATCTAGAAATATTCGTATAATTAACTACTATTATCTATTTAGATTATAAGATTAACCTCCGATTATAGTATTTAATTCTTATAATAACCTTTATAGTTATAGTTAATCCTATTATAAAACCGGCCTTATTAAAGTTAGATATTATCGGGGTCGATTCTAAATTAAAGGATAGTCTTTTAAACTAGATTAAACTACAATTTTATATTTCGTACGCTTATAGTTATACTATTTCGAGAATTAGGAGGAAAGGAGAGGAGATTATTTTATAAATTTTATAACCTAATTTTAGCCGGCTAAAAGAACTAGGGTAGTTCTACGCCTTCGAACAAGAAGATCCGCTATTTCTTATATAGAAGAGGGCCGAGGGGCTACTCTATAAGTATCTATAGAGAGAATCTATTTTTTAAGAAACTCCTCTTTAACTTCTATCAATTTATAGTTATTAGCGCGTATTTTAAGATGAAAAGGATTACTAGTAAGGCGGCGTTATAAAGTTATATATAGTATATTAAAAAGAGGCGCTATTTTACGAATTAAGGAGATTTCTTGATTCTTAAAAGCCTAGATAGCTAGTAAGATCCTACCCTCTTACTCTATTGGATTTCTAGAGCTTCGGGATCGAATTAGTGGTATAGTGGGTGGTTGAAGAAGAAGGGGTTAAATTAATTGCCGCGTTTTGGATGGGTGGCCGGTGGAAAGGCAACCGTTTCTGGCCTCAAAAGCGGTCATTTTTGGCGTCAATCCCACTGGTCCTTATATTCTAGTTGTAAAGAGTACAGCTGTCCAGAGCTCTATTTGCTGTAAAAGGGATTTTAACGTATTTCGCTGATAATTGGAGTCCGTTCGGATGCCCTCATCGTTGAACTTGAAGTGTATATCACAAGGTTCATTCATCAACCCAAATCTATTGGGCCTTCCAGGAGGTAGTCCAGGAGACGAATGCTCGTGTGCGCATCGACAGCTTTGAGCATTGTGTTGTCGAGGTGCAGAAGGATGACCTTGGCGGCTTCCTTGAAGCATTGAGTTGCCGCAGTGTGGTAGGCTAAATACCCTCTACGAACAATCACGCAGTCTACGACCTGTCATCTTCGTTTACTTTCTTTGATGCATGGGATGGGTAGGATATGGGAGGGGATACTGGACTTCCGGCTGCGAGATCTGGAAATATTAAACCCAGTGCGTAAAATTTGATTTATTTACGGCAGCGATATTTACTAGTACACAACTACACAATGGTTGCAGAAAATGTGTAAAAGAGTATGCGCTTAAATATTCAATTGTCATGTCGGTATATACGTATTCTTATCTAACTTACACTAATGCCGATCGGAGGAGACGCTCCATCTCTTGGAGGGACTCGGGTTTGGAAGTCACACTGGACATCAGGTAAAGAACATTGCCAAGGACGCGTGAATGAACGTTGAACTGATCACCGCCAACAGCAAGCTTCTGCTGCAGTCCCTTTGCGGCATTGGAGTTGTAGCCTGTGATGTGGTTAGCTTTGTTAATTTCTTAGGTCTGAAGAACATACCCCCACCAGCTGCATCACGCAGCGAAATACTAAGCACAGTTCCAATAGCAAACACGCTCTCCACCGACTTGGTAGAAGATAGGTCCTGAAGGAGACCATGTGACCAAACACTCCACACATCCGGAGTTGAAGCTTCGGCAGTATCAGCCGAGCTGCTACTCCAGTCAGCGCGATATGCATCCCAGGATCCATCAGCATCAAGCTTGGCCATAGTCTTCAAGGAGTCAACAGCGACCGTGCATCCAACGGCATGGGCGGTGTAACTGTGCCCATGAAGGAGGGCATCGCTCTTTTCGGGACTCGAGAAAGCATCAAAAATCTCCTCGCTAGCGACAGTTGTGCAGAGCGGTACCAGCCCGCCCGTAAGGAGTTTAGCGTTGACGGCGACGTCGGGGTGCACACCTAAGAAAGATGCGGATGTGCGGCGACCGAGACGGTACAGTCCGGTGAAGACTTCATCGAAGATGATTGGCAGGCCGGACCATGACGGAGATTGTTTGGGAGCGGGAGCGTTGGTGGAGAACAGCTCTGGGTGGTCGCGGACCACATCGGTCAGGCATCTCTGGAAGAGGGGATCACTAGAAGGTCAGTCCATCTGTAAATGAACAATTGTGCTACTGAATTCTTACCAGAAAAGCATTCCACCCGCACCGAGGATTACAGGTTCCAGGATCAATGCACCAAATTTCACTCCTTGACGGTGGACCAGATCGTTAATAGTGCGATGGATGTAGTCCTTATAACGCTGGGCGGTGGCAGACTGAAGACGCTGACCAAGGTCAAAGACTGACCCCAATGAAGCGAAATCAACATCCCCGCCGAGTTCTGCTTGCAGCTCACCAGGGACCTCGACTTTCCAAGACCCGCCAACCATCTTGACAAGAGGGAAATCAAACCAGTGTCCACGGCCACGATACCACTCCACCTTCTTATTGAATGTTGAAGGCTCCGAACAATCCATAACACCGATAGTGTCACCGTGGTAGCTACCCTTGAGTCCAAGAATCCCAATCTGCTCCTGGCTCGCATCCCAGCCGTACCGATCGCAAGAAGCGCGTAGACCCATCTTCACAGCAACTTCCATCCCTGTGCTTCCATTGTCTGTGTAAAAGACCTTGGTGAGCCTCGGGTTCTCGATGGTTTTCAGTAAATTGTCCGCCAGCGACAGTGCTGGCTCATGGACAGCTCCTGCGAACATGACATGTCCGTACCGACCGGCGGCATAGGCAGCAGAGAGTGACAGCTCGGGGTTACCGTGGCCCAAACCTTGCGTCCACCAAGACGCAGATCCGTCGAATGTCGGGCGCAGTTCGCTTTGGGTATCCTTCGATGTATTGGGGCCGAATGTTTGGAAGTAATCATCATGCGCTGAGTCGATGACGGTAATGTCTTTGGCCTTCATACCTTGGTGCTGGGTGAAGGGGTACCATATCAGCTTTTGCGCGCGGTCGGGCATCTCTTCCAAGCGCTGGACGCGCTCGGTGTTGTTGACGGACATTTCTTCAAGCAGTCGGAGCACCTCCGACTCCTTTGCGGAGTTTTGGTAATAGCCTAGCATGGCCTCCTCATCCCTTAACTGGGCGTCGGCATCCAGCTGCGATGGTCGGGCTGGAGGTGCCGGTAGCGACACCAATGGAATGCTTTTTTTCTGGAAATAATCACGCAGGTATTCGTGATTTTGGTAGTACTCGTCTCGGAACAAGAGAACCGATGAGATGTCATAGCCACGGAGGAGCAACGACTCGTAAGCAGAGATCGAAGAGGAGATTCCCCCTAGACGTGAATCTGCCACCAGCACAATTGGCAGGCGAAGTGGTCGATACAAGTCTGCTTGTGAATTGCCATTGGGGCCCGGGGAGTGCACACCCCCGGCAGTCTCAACCAGGGCGAAGTCAATGTCCGACCGTGCCCAGCCGGACAGCGTGTTATGTATAGATGCGAGGATATCATCATCTCGCGGAACCTGCGCGATGAGCTTCGTGTGTTCTAATTAGGCCAATGGGCACTTACAAATTTATCTTTGGCAGCCAAGTGCGGGCTCACCGGGTCATCGAATTGGTAGAGACATTTGGTGAGCGTTCCGGCGCCGTAACGTTGCAAGTGCCTACGGTCGTGAGCGATTGAACGGAATTAAATTCAAATAAATTGTATTTTGAAATTCGCCTACCTATCGTCGGCATCATCCAATGCCCCTGTTGACACGGGCTTGAGGAATGCGGCCCGCTGTTTCTGACGTTGAACGGCATTACACAACACCGTGGAGACAATCGTCTTCCCCACGTCCGTGTTAGCCCCGTAGACTTGGTGGGCTCTTAAACTGCGCCAGAGGGCTGCACCGACGGGAGGCATGATGAGATGAAGTGAAGTGAGTCAGTCCAAAACAGACCTCGGTAGAGTCAGTGAGTTTCCGACAAAAAATCCCCACATTTTCCGCATTTCACCGGACTCTCTTGTTGGGTTACTCAACGCACTTAGACTTCTTGACTTTTGGAAGAAGATCTGCCCTGTCAATCTCAACAGTCAACAGTCTACCGTCAACCGTCAACAATCAACAATATTCGAAACTAAAAATAAAAATAAAAATACAGTGGATAATCGTGCATAACCGTTCAGGAACAGAACCAAGATCATCAGGGGAATTGACGTCAGCGATCGTGAAAATCAATATGGCTGCATCTCAACCTAGGACATCGAGCACATCAAGCACATCAAGCACATCAAGCTCAGCAATCTCAGCGCCCAAAACCCTCATTGACTCACTATCTGCCGCATTGGCCCGCCGGGAAGCCAAATCTGCCCGTCGGAGGCTGACCATTTTACCCCGGACAGCTGTGGATTTCTCTTCCAATGACTTCCTGTCACTGTCCACGTCTCCCGCATACCGGGAACGATTTTTAGCACTTTTGAACAACACACCGCCATCATTTCCCCTTGCCAGCGGAGGTTCTCGGCTATTAGACGGGAATTCGGCTTACGCAGAAGAGCTCGAAAACTTTGTTGCAGAATTCCACCAAGCCCCGACAGCACTTCTATTCAACTCCGGATATGATGCCAATGTCGGCGTCCTATCCAGTATTCCCCAGCCAGGCGATTTGATTTTGTACGATGAGCTCATCCACGCAAGTGCCCATGAGGGCATGCGTTTGTCGCGAGCCGGT